GATTCGCGGCATCTTGCGTTTCACCTGGAGCTTAAGTTCGTCGGAGCCATGCTTTCCCATAAGCACTGGGAGTACCACCTCGTAGAAGCTTGCAGAGCGTGGACTGTCCAGAAAAGCATGCAGCATGAAGAGATCGGTGGTAACGCAAGGTGTGTCAGCAAGCGGATCACATGCTCGCGAAAACTTTGATCGGTCCGTGAGCAAACGGTGAAGCCAGCTCGAGCAACAACGAAGTGCGCAACTCTCATCTCGGTGTTGCAGGACGAAGGAGGACCAGACTCGTTCGCATGAATGTCGGATGACCGCCTTTGCTGGTCTTTGAGGAAGAAGCAAAGAGGCCGCCGAGTGCAGATTTGTCAACCCTTCAATTTGTTCACCCAAAAAGACGTACGACGTCCGTTTGAAGGCAGCTTGCATGGTAGAAGACATCACTAATCACACCCACTAGCTCCGGTGGGTAGTTAATGCCCGACTACCTTCGTAATTTCGACGCCGTCCATACGCCTCTCAGCACAGCGTCGCAAGATCAGCCTCACAGCATGAAGAAGCGCCGACACCGTCAACGGATGAGTGATGAAGCTCGCATCAATGCCACGCATGCCGTCTATGATCTCCAGAGGTCTAGGGCATCAAGGTCCTACATGCTGTCGATGAGTTTCTACACTGTGTCGGGTACGCTTTACACGTATGCGCCCTCGCGGCAAGCATTCGGGGCATTTGGCTTGCCGTCGTTGGCGGCGGGGGAGGGACCGGAGCATTCTGGTGTCCTGCAGTACGGCTGGCCAGGTTAGTACGATTGCTGGCTGAGGGTAGCGCGGTGGCATACCATATGTATGAGCGAGGTCACACGTGCTCGTGCTGAAACGTGTTAGACGGTCTACGCAGTGCTGGTGATCGTTCTTCCCCGTGGTCGCCATCACGCTGATGTCCTCGATCGGATTGAGATATGATGGGATAGAGAAGGGAATACATGTAGACATGAACCTCGTCCGAAGCTGACGTACTGACTTCTCTCACGCCGTTCGCGCCTTCTGTCGGCACATGCCGCGGCTTGGCTTTGCCCTTGCGGTCTTGCCAACTCGTGCACAACGGCACTGACGTTCATGTTGCGGGCAGGCCGGGAACGTGTAGGATATTGAGCTCCCGGTAAGCATTTGCACTTGATCGGGAGCGTTCCTGAACCCTCCTGGGAAGGAAGAAGGAGGCCACTACCGCGATCAGCAACCCGTGGCCTCACCGTGTCCTCTGAGATCTGACGAAGGAGAGGCTGTGGACATGGGAGGCGACGTGGAAGTTGCGGAGCATTCGGGAAAGCGCCTTGGCGCGTTGACGTGGGATGAATAGAAAGTGTACAGCTGGCACATTGATGATTGATAACGTTCCATTAGCGGAGAGGAGAACAAGGCACATTGCCAGTCCTTTCCAACCCAGACACTGTTGGAAGTCCGCCGCCAATTCACACGCCGTGGAAAGATTCTCGCATCAATCCAGATGTCATAAGCGTCCCGTCTTGGTTCCCTCATTGACCGCTGCTACGGCACACGACTTCCCTCAAAGCCTCCCACTCACACACTATGCCGCCTCCAGGACGGCGGCGCAACGGCGCACTCTCCCTGCCTGCCCTCCTCCTCGCCGTACTGTTCCTATTCACCACAACGGCATCCGCAGCCTCCGGCGTCCTCGGCCTGGACTTTGGAACGCTCAACATTAAAGCCGCACTCGTCAAGCCAGGTATCCCTCTCGAGATCGTCCTGTCGAAAGACTCAAAACGGAAGGAGGCGGCTGCCGTAGCTTTCAAGCCGAACCGCGACTCCAAGAACAACGTCATCGCTGAAGTGGGCACCTTCCCGGAGAGGGCGTATGGCGGTGATGCCTTGGCTCTACAAGGCAGGTTCCCAGGGGAGGTGTTCCCGAACTTGAAGCCGTTGTTGGGACTGCCATGGGCCGACGGGGCGAGTGCGGCGGTGGATGCGTACAAGGGACGGTATCCGGCTGTGCAGGTGGAGCAGGTCAAGGAGCTGGGGACCACGATGATCAAGAGCTCGGCGTTTGCGGAAGGCGAGATGCCGTGGAGCGTGGAGGAGCTGTTGGCGATGGAGCTGGCGAACGTCAAGAGGAACGCCGAGGCTTTGGCTGGCAAGGGTAGCAGCGTGGAGGACGTAGTGATTACGGTGCCGGCATTTTACACAGCGGATGAAAGGAGAGCGATAGCGAAGGCTTCGGAGCTGGCTGGGCTTCATGTCAACGCGCTCATCTCGGAGGGACTTGCTGTGGGTCTGGACTATGCAAAGAGCAGGACCTTTCCGGAGGTGACGAAAGGAGAGAAGCCAGAGTACCACGTAGTGTTTGATATGGGTGCTGGCTCTACTACCGCCACCCTGCTCCGCTTCCAGAGCAAGAGCGTCAAAGATGTTGGCAGGTTCAACAAGACGGTGCAAGAGGTTGCTGTGCTGGGTACGGGCTGGGACCGGACGCTGGGCGGTGACAGCCTGAACCAGGTCGTACTGGACGACTACGTGCACAAGTTCCTTACAAAGCCCGTTATGAAAAGCCGCGGAGTCACAGCAGACCAGATCAAGAGCAACGGTAGGCTTATGGCGCGGATGTGGAAAGACGTGGAGAAGGCAAGGCAAGTCCTGTCAGCCAACGCCGAGACCACCAGCAGCTTCGAGGAGTTGTTGCCCGAGATCGACTTCCGCGTGAAGCACACGCGTGCCGACTTTGAAAAGCTGACTGAGCGGTTGGCTGAGCGTGTTGTGGTACCCATCAAGGATGCGCTTGCGGCCGCCAAGCTGAGCATGGCTGACATCGACTCCATCATCCTACACGGCGGCGTGGTACGCACGCCTTTCGTCCAGCGCAAGCTTGAGGAGATTGCAGGCGGCAGCTCCAAGCTCCGCAGCAATGTCAACGCCGATGAATCTGCAGTCTTCGGCGCCGCATTCAAGGGCGCAGGTCTTTCTCCCTCGTTCAAGGTCAAAGAGATCAGGGATAGCGATATCGCCGGCTACGCTACTGGTATGACGTTCACGGACGGCAGCAAGGAGAGGAAGCAGCAGCTGTTCGGCGCGACGTCTCCGGTCGGCCACAGCGCAGCTACGAAGCAGGTCACGTTCAAGGACAAGGAAGACTTTGTGTTTGGGCTGTATCAGGTCGTCGATGATGCTGAGCGGCCGATCACGCGGATACAGACGGATAATCTGACGGCGAGTGTGAAAGAGCTGAGCAGCAACTTTGGGTGCGAAAAGGGCGACATCTCGACGAAGTTCAGCGTCAAGCTTAGCGCCGTCAATGGACTGCCGGAAGTGCTCAGCGGAACGGTCAGCTGCGAGGTTGAAGGTAGTGGCAAGAACATGGGCGACACGGTCAAGGACTGGTTCGGCTTTGGTGGGAAGAAGGACCAAGAGCCATTGAGTGATGGTGACGATGGACCGATCGAAGAAGTCGACGCAGCCTCAAGCTCATCGGCTACCGCAGGTGACTCAGCGACTACGTCTTCTGGTAGTAAGTCGACATCCAGCTCCAAGGTGCCCGAGAAGCCGAAGAAGCGGACGGAGAGCATCCCCATTGCCTTCTCCGTGTCGGCCCAAGGCAACCCGCAACCCGCACCGGAAGAGCTCAAGCGTATGCGCGACCGCCTCGCGGCTTTCGACCGCTCTGACCATGCGAGACTGGCGAGGGAAGAGGCGCTCAACGTGCTCGAGAGCTATACGTACTATGTCCGCGACTTCGTCAGCAACACTGACTACTCGTCCGTCTCCACCGAGGCGATGACAGCCGAGGTCAGTAAACTCCTGGAGAGCACACGCGAGTTCATGGAGAACCCTGGCCAGGCAGCGAAGGCTACCGAGGAGACTCTCAAGGAGAAGCTGAGTGGTTTGAAGAAACTCGTGGAGCCGATTCAGAGCCGACGGAAAGAGGAGATCGCGCGGCCGGAGAAGGTTGAGGCACTGAGGAGTAGCCTTGAGCAGACGGAGAAGCTCGTTGAGATGGTGCGGGGGCAGGTGGAGAAGGCCTCTTCAGCATCGAGCAAGGCCAGCGAGATGGAGGCTTCGAAGTCTGCAGAGGCTGCCGAGAGCGATACGACTGCTGCGCCAAAGGACGATGGCGACGATCTTGAGGAGCCGGACACGACTGCGACCACGTCGGAAGCGCCCAAGTACAGCTCGCCGGCCGACTTCTCGCCCTATAGCGATGTCGACTTGAAGGACGTCGAGGATGTGTATGAGTCAGCGTCCAAGTGGCTGTCCGAGAAGGAGGCGGAGCAAGGGAAGCTCAAACCCTACGAGCAGCCCGTACTGCTCGTCAAAGACATCGAAGCGCAAGCGGCCAAGCTCAGCAGTGTCATGAGCGATCTCCTCTACAAGAAGATGCAGAAGGCCCCCAAATCTACCTCTTCATCGAGCTCGAAGAAGGCCAAGACGAGCAAGGCGAGCAAGACGAGGAGTGGTAAGAAGGGGAAGAGCAGCACTACCGAGGCGCCGGTGGAGGAGAGTGCGAGTGTGAAGGTCGGGGGGAAGCCGCAGTTCATCACGGTGGGCTCTGAGGATGAGATGCCGACGGAGGAGGAGATACTGGCGATGGTGTCGAAGGCGAAGGGTGGGGCGAAGAGCAAAGAGCGGGATGAGTTATAGATTTGCTGGTATAGAGTTTATGATATGCATTGCGATGGTGCTACTGTGTCTATCTCACGTCTCTCGCGTGCATCTTGTCTACTCGGACAGATACTGCCTCTGTGAAGCCAGTCTGTTACTAGCCTGAGAGACTCAGCTCGTGGTGCACCAACCCATCACCCATAGCCGCTGTAAACCTGAGTTTCGTTACCTCGAGGCTTTGTCGTTTGATGCTCTATATCATTAGATCGAGGCTTCGGACACTCGTGTTGTGCTTACCATCTCGATCATCATTAGCCGACCATCGGATTTACCTCGGCTCATCTATGTTTGATCTATATATACCTCTTGACCAATTCGTGCACCATCAACTGCTTGATAACGGCAGCCCGGATAGTTTAACGGTCAGAACATGGGTCTCATATTTCGGTATGATCGAGCTTAGCTCGAATGACCTCTTTGGTTATCCTCGTTGATATCCCAAGATCTGAGTTCGATTCTCAGTCCAGGCAAGGACATTCCCGCCTTCGACATCTCAGATGTTGCTACGGATCTACTCTTTTTGGCATTGTTCGTCCCCATTATCTTCCCTTTCTGCGAGTGAGGGTTTACAAGCTTCTTACAATCTTTTGCACCGGCACGCTGAAACCGCAATGGACAGATTGAAACCGGCATGTACAATATAATATCTTGTGGGTCGCCTTGAACTGACTACAACCTCGAGGAATAGTACGGCCGATTGCCAATGCCGGCTTGAATTGCCAGAGGCATGGAATCTGGTAGAGACTGCAGCAGTGCAATATTAATCAATACTTTCTGCACAGTCATTGATTAAATCTGTATACCCCTGTCCTGCGGTTAAACAACTCAACGCGATCATGTAGAGTATATATAGAGCTATATCACGCTGCAGATTTGCCTTTTTGCCAATAGAAGTTGGAGTCTTGGAGTCTTGGAGTCTTGGACCTTGAAGGCGATAGCTAGCCTTGGCAATCGGCGGTACTATTGCTCAGGGTTATAACAGCCATACCACCCGACCCATACAGGACACGCAGGGTTCCCACAACTGTTCACGATCGACAACGCCAACGTTCCTTGTCCTTGGCGACACGATACTACGGTTACTGCCTCGAAAAGCTCCACTATATGATAGCGAGGCGCGCGGGTAAGCAGCTCGGTTGCAAGAGACTTCACATATGTGCTCATCCGAACAGCGGCAGCAGCGTTACGATATCTACGGTATGCTGCTACGTCTGCCAGGTCTATGCCATCTGGCCCTTTGCGACGTAGAAGAGGGGGCCTCACCGACGGTATACGGAGGAGGTGTCAGACGTGAGGGTCGTTGCTTGTTCTCCGAAATCCGCAGGCACGCGGTGAAGAGTAACACACCAGTAGGAGTGCGTATGCTATAATGCTGTCATCTTTGCCATCTGAGCAAGGCCAAGATGCTGAATGGTGGGCACGCTAGAAAATGCGCATCAAGCCCTTGCTCGCAGAAATAAAAGTCACCAGAAACGAGAAACCGAGCCGTCGGTCTTAGAAGTTAGTTGCTTGTTGCTCATGCCGCCATGCCAAGATGCGGTCCAGAACTCCAGTGACGTTGGGACAGAGTGGATAAGCGCTATAGAGATCCGGAAAGTCCTGCCTGTACGTGCGAAGTTGCGTCGCGTGCAATTGAACAGTCTGTGCAGTTTGGAACGGCGGAGCTGTTCGTAAGCGCGTCGTAAGCCCTGTGTCGGTCCACGTGACAGTATACCTGATGGGTTGGTGGTGTTATTAATAATGTGGTTGAAGAAAAAGCGGAGAGAAAGCGAACGCTACCTCGGAGGTATCATTTTCGCACAGGTTGCGCGCAGCTATAGCTTCCATGTGGCTGGTAGCCACAAACAGGCGTGAAAGTTCCTGCGTCGAACGGTCCAGCTCCTCTGATGTGACAATCGTACGGCGATGGTTTTCATAGGCTTCAAAAGCACGCAACGGTATGTCACTGCGGTTGTACCATGTTGTCTTCAGCTTGTCGCGATGAGCCAGTGAGTACAAAGTTGCTACTGAAACACGCTAGCTGGCGTGCAGTCGCCAAGTAGCCGCCGCCCTACACGGTACCAGCCGGTCGCAACGTCGCTCGTCGTCCTCTCCAGCAGTGAGACACATGGCCGCCTGCGACAGACCGTGCGCGGTTACCCAAGCGCAAAAGAGTGGCTGGCTGTCGCGCAGTCGCACAAGCGGTTCCAAGTTTCTGCGGCCATCAAAGAGGTAGCTATTGGAGGGCCACGCACTACGCAGAGGCAGACCATCCTGCCATGCATGATGCAGGCCAAGCGACTCGGCAACGGTCTCCAGTTTGGAGCATTGAGGTCCTGGTACCTGCATGAGCTCTCATGCGAGCAGGCTGCAGGAAGCGCCCTTCCGTCCCGCTGTTTGTCATAGCATTGGACCTCTTCGCGAAACCTAATTCACTCAGCGAATACGAAGCATTCATCGCCAGTAGCCGGCGGGTTTCCTCGAATAGCCTATAGGGCAAAGGGCCCACCGCCGCACCGCGCCTGTCCAGACCGGTGGTGAAGATCCATATAAGACGCTTTGGCCAATAACACCGATCAAGACATGCTTCTCTCGGCGTTCTGCGACAGTCTGTCGCACACATGGGTTGACTTCTCGGTAGGTTTACACGGAGGGAGGGGACGTCACTTGTCGACGACGCGCATATGAGTACTGCAGTTGATATGCACCGTCTCCCTTGCCGTCTGCTTTCTTTCCAGTTTCAAGACTCTTGTGCTGCTTCTGCTACAGTATCAGCTTTCTTGTTATCTGTAGTCAGTGCTTTCGTTCGCTGCTACTCTACACCCTCGTTCTTCATCTGATCAACAGAGCAATCACTACTCAACCCAATAATACAGTACCCTTAGCGACCATGGTCAACAATCTTGCAGTGTTGGGTCTCGCAGGCCTTGCCGCCGCCAGCAACGGCTGGGGTAGCGAGGACGCTGGTTCCTGGGGCAGCGCGAGCGGATGGAGTTCCTCTGGCGGCAGCGGGTGGGGCCAGTCAGGCTGGAGCAGCGCTGCACCAAGTACCGAGCAGAGCACCAGCTCCGTGTCGTCCGCGGTGACTCCATCCGCATACACGTCGTCGTCTTTGACATCTGCGACCCCCTCTTCGCCAACCGACTCGGCCTCATCGTATTCCGTCCCTCTTTCCACTGGAGTGAGCAGCTCGTCGGTTGTTTTCCCGACCAGCTACCCTTTCTCGAGTGACTCCTCATCCGCGAGCTTGGTCTCGCCGATGACTTACAACAGCAGCTCAATCTCCGCCGCGAGCTCTGGATACAGCATCCCAACGTACAGCAACACTGGCTTGTCATACTCGCCGTCAAGCTACTCCGAATCGACTTCCACGATCTGGAGCACCGATGTGGTTACAATCACAAGCTGCGCTGCAACAGTGACGAATTGCCCGGCTAGCTCGACTGTTGTCATCACCAGCTCGACCCCAATTTCGACCACCGTTGTGACAGCGTCACAGTCAAGCTCTTCGGCCTCGGTGGCGCCACAGTCCTCTAGCTCCTCGGTCAGCGTTGCTGCCTACAGCAGCAATGTCACAGCTCCAGCACCGACCGGTAGCTACCCGTCCGGCACCACGGTCACCGATGTCATAAGCGTCTACACCACCTATTGCCCAGTGACAGCGACCGAGACCAGCGGCAGCACGACTCTTACCAGCACATACATGACTTACTCCACTCTTACATCGACTTACCAGAGCACGCTTACCCTGAGCGGTACCAGCTCCTCGCCTGTCTCACCCGAGACGACATCCACCGCGTCCGAGGCTACGGTGACTGACCTTACGACGGTCTATACCACTTATTGTCCAGTAACAGCGACTGAAACGAGCAGCGGCACGACCTTGACAAGCACGTATATGACATATTCAACTTTGACATCAGTCTATCGAACCACGTTCACGGCATCCTCATCTGCCGTCAGTTCGACCAGCAGCAGCCCGGTCAGCGCAGCAGCTTATTCGACACCCGCCTCCTCGTCTCCAGCTGGGTACACGCCGGGCTCTTCCGCAAGCTCGTCTCTCGTCTCGCCGGTGTCAAACAGCAGCGTTTCCGCCTACTCGAGCGCAGCAACTCAGTCTGTGCCCTCGTATACGACTTCGACTGTCTACAGCACGCAAGAGGTTACGATCACATCTTGTGCGGCCTCCGTCACCAACTGCCCAGCTAGCTCGACGGTCGTAGTGACCAGCATCGTCCCTATCTCGACCACGGTATGCCCAGTCACGGCATCCGAGACCGGCAGTTTGTCCAGTCCAGCTGGCTACACCCCTGGCTCTTCGGCCGTATCAGCAGCCTCAGTCGCCTCATCAAGCCCAGCTATCACCCAATCGCTAACTTTGTACTCAACATCAACGATATACAGCACTCAAGAGGTCACAATCACGTCTTGTGGCGCCACCGTTACGGATTGCCCAGCTCACTCCACTACGGTAGTAACGAGCAGTGTGCCAATCTCCTCCACGGTCATTCCGATCACCTACCCGGCCAGCAGCGTGTCGGCCGCCGCTGTATCGACCTCCAGCGTTCCGGAAAACACCACTGTAACGGATATGATTTCCATCTACACGACCTACTGCCCAGTCACGGCTACCCAGGTCTCCAGCGGCACTACACTTACTAGCACGTACATGACATACTCGACGATCACAAGTAGCTACAGCTCGCAGGCAATTGCCACGCCCAGCTCGACCGCCGAGATCTCTTCAGCGGCCAGCACTAGCACCCTGACGACCACGCATACATCAAGCCAAGTCGTTACTTTGACAGAATACAGCACTGGCTATCTGACTTCCACCATTTCCCTGATCTCGACAACACCCGTCGTCACATACGCCACCTACACAAGCGAGTCATCTACCTACTCGTCGCCGGTCACCGTTATGCAGACAACGACGTACTACAGCACATCTGTGGCAACTACTTCGACCCCTGTGGTTGTAAGCGTTAGCAGCAATGCCTCGCCGGTGGTTTCTCAGTCGGAGTCGATTTCGGCCGGCTCGTCTTCCTCGGAGACTAGCCCAGCAGCTGCCACTTCCCCTGCTGGAAGCACCACAACCGCTGAGGAGACCATCCCAGCCATAGTGCAGTCATACACATCGGCGTCATCTGCTGCCTCGGAACAGACACCTTCGGCGTACAGCTCTGCTGTACAGACTTCTTCAGAGGCTGCTGCTTCGTACAGCTCGGTTGCGGAGTCCTCGCCTGCTGCCGCATCGCCTTACAGCTCCGCTGCAACCTCGCCAGTGGCATCCACTACGCCAGCCGTATCTGCTGCCTCGGAACAGACACCTTCGGCGTACAGCTCTGCCGTACAGACTTCTTCAGAGGCCGCTGCTTCGTATAGCTCGGTTGTGGAGTCCTCGCCTGCTGCCGCATCGCCTTACAGCTCTGCTGCAACTTCACCAGCGGCATCCACCACGCCAGCCGTATCTGCCGCCCAGTACTCCTCC